TCCTTTACAATGCCGAACCTTCCACCTACATTGAGAACTGCACCCTGTCCCGCAGGCGGTTTCAAGATCTCTCTGGTGAGTCCCCACCTCTTGAGCAAGCCCCATGGCACAAAAGTGCTTCTTTGGACACAGATTTCCAAGCTGCAGTCGCTCGCATCCAAGCACGCGCCGTCTCTTCCCAACCCTTGAAGGACCCCAATGCCCCGCTGCAAACGCGGCGTCGCCTTCACGCCTTTGACGACCAACGCGACACCCATTCCGTGACCAGGTGCCAAGTGCAACGCATCATGCAGATCCAGCAAGTTTTTCCCACGCGAGCCGACCCCGTTGACCTCTTTGTCGATGACATGAACCTGGTTGAAAAGAACTGGACGCCCCTCCGATACGATTTAAAAACCAGTGAAATGATTTTTACCCGCTTCATTGAGCCCCACGACGTACGTGGCGCAGTGGCTGCGGCGGCGCAGTAGACTCTCCCCTCCTAAAGTCTCCATAGTATTGCACCGCACGTCTTGATTGCCCAACCCCCAGCTCATTCCAATCCCAATTGGCCCATTCTTTTAGGTATTGGCGTGCCACTTGACCACCGGACACTGCCGCCATGTTGCACGCTATGATAGCAGCCAACACCTTGCCGTCATCAAAGACAAACTGGGCATCAAGGTATTTGCTCTCGCCCCCAGCCCTGATTCCCATTCACCTGTTCTTCTTGTTTTTCTCCTGTTCTTCTTCTTCTTCTTCCTATTTTTTTTTCCACTCCCTTTTGCTCCTTGATGGCCCTCCTTTTTGCTCCTGCTTTGTGCTCACGTTGGCACACGCTTTTGATAGACCTTTCACTTGGCTGCCAACACGATCCAGCTGTCGGCCCGCCAGAGCTTGGGCGTGTTGCATGGCCGAGTGATTGAGGACAACTCTTACCTCCCGTTGGCCTATGTTGTCGAGTCGGTGCCTCCGTATCGCGTCCTGGGCATGGGCCAGCAGCAGCTTTGCCTGCCCATTCCAGACCGACCTTCCGGCGTGGATCGGACCCGCTACGTTTACGTCCACTCGCTCCGCTCCGTCAACTCCACCCACATCCTCGTCGGCTACAACGTCCGCGACCACAGCGTGACCTTGGCCGTCCTCCCCCTCACCGCCCTTTTGAATACCATCCAGTGGTTCACGTCGTAGCGCACATGGGTGACGATCATCATGTGGTTTACATTCGGGTGCCTTGCCGGCTTTGCGGGGGAAGCTCATCTCCCTTGGTTTCTATTCCGAGTATTCTTGTTAATATTATTTTCATGTGTCTCTTGTGCTCTTGGCGTGCCTCGAGTGCCTCCACACTTTTGAGTTTTCTAAAGAGGAACAGTGTATCCCGCCCCTCTTTCCGTGTCGATCGCTGCGCGATCCCTCTTCTCCCTCCCGAGCTGTTTGCTCGTGTCGCAAATTGATTTTTGCCCCTGCGCCCTGCTTGCAATCTTTTTCCTGGTTCATGGTTCCTCTGACATTTTCTCAAAATCTCTGAAAACATCACTCATTTTTTCAAAATCTCTCAAAACATCACACCA